AGACTTGCTTTCTTGGACATCCTGCCATCGATTCCTGTTTTTTCCCGCTCTCAGCACTGTCACTCTACACCGTTGGTGGGCTGCGTATGTGAAATTTACAACATCTCACCAGATCAGGCGTTCCCACTGCAAACACTGCAAACTTGCTATTTCATCAGCCCTTCTGCCACAGTGCAACTGCTTTTCTTCATCTATTATTTTTATTAGAGAGGAGAGAGATGCTCACACACACTGCGCCGTGTGAGACACAAGGCAGTTAGACAGACAAGTGTCTGGATAAGCATAATTGGCACATTCATCTGTCTTCTGCTAATAAAATGCTTTGTGGTAGAGAGATCAAAAGTGAAGAGCTGTGATGTTCACTGTTGGGATTGTCTCCAATGTTGGGTTTAGTAAAAGAGCTTCAACTCAACACAAATACCTTTTGACAAAAAAAATACTCCCAAATAGGCTTCATTAGCCTTATGCCAGTTTCAGACTACACAATATCAGCTCAACAATAGCCTGACCTGACAGACGTAGCGCCGTTTTATCATAGTGGACGACAACTGATGCCCCATCTGGGATGCTGGGAACAGTTAAAAGGTCTTGGCCTGAAGACCTCAGAGAGCAACCAGAAATGTGTGCATGCAACAGATCCTGGATGTAAGAGGGAGCTTGACCATGCAAGGCTCTGTAAGTAATGGTTAAAATTTATAATGTACTCTAAAACCAATCGGAAGCCAATGAAGAGCCTTAAGCACAGGAGTAATGTGCGATCTCTTGTTAGTTTTAGACAAAAGCCTTGCAGCTGCATTCTGCACAACTTGCAGTCGGTCTATGGAGGATTTGTTTAGACAAGTGTACAGTACATTGCAATAATCCATACGAGAAGAAATAAAAGCATGAACAAGCATCTCCATCTCTTCTTTAGAAACCATAGATCTAATCTTAGCAATGTTCCTGAGATGGAAAAAACAGGAATGAACCACAGATTTAACATGACTGTTAAAAAACATAGATTTATCAAAAATGACACCCAGATTCGCACAACATTACCGTCAGAGGATGATAGAGCCCCAAGGCCCTGCCTAATTTTAGGGGTAATGTTGTGTGGGGCAAAAATCAACACCTCAGTTTTGTCTGTATTTAGTTGCAAAAAGTTGTCTGCCATCCATTTGTTAATGGAGGCTAAGCAATTGTGCAACACGGACAGTTTGTCTAGCCTATGAGGACTAAAAGATAAATATAATTGGATGTCATCAGCATAATGATAAGATATGTCTTCAAAGCTACCAATAGTTTTTCCAAGAGGAAGCATATACAGACTGAACAGCAGGGGGCCGAGCACAGAACCTTGGGGCACACCACAGGACAAAGGAGCAGAGTCTGACATATATGTTCCTGTGGATATTGTAATATTAAGCAAGTGAGAGCATGCATTTTATGTGACTGACAATGAAGACACTTGTCTCAAGAGCATTTTATTTCTTTTCCTTACAGGTGAGCTTCAGCTTTGCCAGTGGCAAAGTTTTCATTTCAGCTCTGGGAGGACACGCTGCTTACGACACCTGACCAGCAGAGGAGAGCGGTGATGCAGTGGCTTTTTAGATGCCAAAGTAATTACCAGTCAACTGTCCTAAACCTTGAAAAAAACAATGTGCTCCTGTTTAGGGTGTTCTTAAGTATTATTAAGTATTTATTTATTTATTTATGCAAAGTCCAATAACATAGTTATGGGATTAACTGTAGTGGTGTCAAAGTCCAAACACACATGATATTATAAGAAAAGTCAATATTTCAGGAAAGACTGTTAAATATTGAGATGGTGCAGTGATGATACTATGACATTTTTGCCCACAATAATTTTGGCATGATAATATGGTCCACATCCACACTTTGCAGGCCTGAACATTTGCGTATCATTTAGCTAATGGGTAATCTCATGGGGAATGAAAAGAAAAGGAGACAGGACAGCAGAAATTCATAAAAAGCACGCAAGCAATAAAGCAAGCAAGAAAGAAAGAAAGAAAGGTAACAGTTCACACTTTTGTCCAGACAAATGCCCGTGTCTGGCTCCTCTACCTTGAAAGCATAAATCACAGCAGTCTACTCAGGATTCTTCACACAGGCTGAGATGACAGTATAGGAGGCCGTTGAGGTGTTTCTTGAAAAGATGAGGAAAATGCTCTGTTCACTGATCCCTCCAATACTTTTAAATACTGCACTAAGCATGTACAATGTATACACTGTGCAAGTACAAATGAACAATGTAGACACTGAACAATTATGAGAATGGTTTTCACGTTAATATAACTTTACAAATTCCATGCGCAGTACCATAACGGCGCTAATCTGATTAGCAAACAAGGAAAGAAGCTGTGCTTGTGTGATGGATGTGAGTGCTTGAATTACAACTGAAGGAAGAACAAACCGTTAAAGATTTCTGTCCTCCTACAGCAGTTTCTTTCCTGCTACTGGGTTTAAATCTGTGCAGTATCTGATGGATGATGCAGTCGCTAATGAGAGCTGGATATGTCCACATTTAACTGTCTCCCTAATGATAAGTAATGACGGTAGCTTAGCTAACACAATTAAAACTGGCGCACAGAAAAATAAAATTCCCCCAGAATGAAGTATTATGTAAATTATTAATTACCACATAGACGATTGCAATCTTGCTCAGCTACCCATTGGCACTCAAATAAATGTGAATGATTTGGAATAAAATCGTGAGGATAATCCTGACACAGTGGAAATGTGAGAAGGTTTCAACAAATACCACCTGCTCCTTCAGCAATTTATAGAAACAATTTGCATTTGCAATTTAACCGCTAAACACAGGCTCTTATGCAGACTGACTTGGACTTGGCAACAAATGCAAACAGGAAATTACACAATGTGAGTAAACATTTGAATAATTTTGCATTTGTTCTAGTCAGTAAGCTGCTGCTACTATTATGTTTCCTTAAATCTGGCATATACAGGTAAGCTGTAATGCATACCTCAGAGAAATCTCCAAAATTCAGACACAATTTTCTATGTCTCTCTTCAACACTAGAGATGGTAAAAATATAATATTCGAGCCACTGTATAGCAATATGTATTTAATTTGAATTTCAATCACATGATTTCTGCACACTCTCACTCCACATTCAATGAGGGATGCGTGTTTTATGCAGCAGCGTAACGGCAGTGTCCACAAATACAGTTACACTTGTACGGATGTCTACTGACTGTGTGTGTGTGTGTGTGTGTGTGTGGGGGGGGGGGTCTGCATATGTATGTGCATATGTATGTGTGCGAGAAACAGAGACAGAGAGTGAGTAATGGACAGATAGAGAGCGAGCGAGAGGTAAAGACAAAGACAGAGAGTATCCAGGAAGAGGGAGAGAGACGGAGAGAGAAAGCGATCTCTCAGATTCCGTGTCTCAGCTTAATGACACAGGACCCACCTGGGACAGAGGGAAAGCCGAGCTCTGTGCAAGATATGATGAATCCAGAGACCGACAACCTCAAGCCTCCCCACTCACAACCTACACACACACACACACACACACACACACACAGAGTCATGAAAAAACAGTCTCAGAAATTAACTGCTCGGCTCCTCGGTATACAGGGAAACTGAATTTGAGGTTTTTACTACTCCCATTTTCTGTCACCCTCTCTCTCTCTCTCTCTCTCTCTCCCCCTCTCCCTCTCTCTCTCTCTTCTAAGATCCTGGATATATCACCACCACTCCCAATGTGGTGTCAATACCAAACGCTGAATCCCTCAACCTGTTTCCCTGCTGTGACCATGGACAATATGTCTGGCTGACTTTGACAAATTAAACCAACTCGATATATGGCAATAACCTTCACAGGATGCCATGGAGGGGAAAAGGAAAGGGGGGACTAGGGAAAGGGAGAGGAACCGAGACTGAAAGAGAGACAGAGAGATGGATGATGGGACATATCGAGCATGGCACGTTAAACCCATACCAGGTACAGCATGAGAATACGTGGAGAGGGGGAACACATACAGACCGACTTCTGAAATGTCACCATAGTTAATAATAAGTCAGTACAGCTGAAACACACACACATTATCTGCGCAGGAAAGGCGTTTAATTGGCCTTAAAAGACAACACTCTATAAGCTGTAGGCCTTTTGCGGATCATTGATGGAAAAACTGTTTACCATTTGTCCATGCATGTGTTTTTCCTTTAGATGGAGACAACTTTGAGAACTATTACAACTGCTCGACTCAGAGCTGAACAAGTTTGAAAGTACCACTGCATCACCATACTTGAGTTAGAAATTCATGATATAGTGTGCAAAATGACTGTGGTCGTGCTTCTTTTTCCTTTAACAACCTGAGTGTCTCCCTGTTGAGTGAGTTGGGTCTGAAACCAATTCCCAAAATGTTCCTCCAAACTCAGCAGCAACATGTCAAGAAATAGAAAATTCTTTAACTTACACAATAACTTGTCGAGCTAAAGAATATACCAGTGGCTTAAGACAGATATCCTCACCATGACAGTTGTGACAAATTGCCATGCCAGGGTATCAACTACTTCAGTTAATTTTGTCAAAGCAAGCTTTTATAACGACTCAATTAAATTGCCCGAGTGGCTGTAATTCAGAAACGTTTCACCTCTTAAAGCAAATATCTTCTACAACACACACATATGCACTTTCACTACAAAAGCACCCACCTACACACACGCACACACACACACACGTAAACACACACAAACCAGCAAGAGGAGGTCGTTAGGCAGCTATTGTTGTGTTCTCTCTGCTCAGCATGATAACAGGTTGATTGATACTAAGGTTCCCCAGTTAATCACCTGGCTATGACTATAAATGCATGCTGTCTTCCGAGTGATGTGCCAACTAAAACAGGAAACAAAAAACAAAAATGCAACTGTGCATGAGTGAAAGATACAGGACTCACACACACACTCTTGCCACAAGCAGAATGCACCTGCCGAAATCTCCATCCCCATTCCACACAAGCACAAGTTAACTCACCTGCTCTGAGTGACCAGCTGAAAGCTTTCGAATTGGCCTCGGGTAATCTTCTCCCCCCTTGCTCTCTTCACTCTCTCTGTCCCTTTGGCTACTCTCTTGCCCGCTACCTCTCTCTGTGGCAGCGCATAGATGTCCTACGGGCCGCTTACCCTTACTGTGTGGCTTGGCATAAGCGCATCGATCTCTCGGCCAAGTGGTACGTGGTCCTGCTGTTTCCACGCGCGAGACTCAGATGTGCTCTCCCCTCTCCGCTGCTCACTCTGCCTCACACAGCTGCAGAGGGAAATGTGAGGATGGGCAACGTGGCTGAGTGCTGCTCCACTCTCTCTCGCTCTCGCTCTCGCTCTCTCTCTCTCTCTTTCTCTCTCAGGATGTCAGCTGGTAGTGATGCTTGCTCCTGCTATCTCTTCACTCTGTCACTCTTACTTGCTGCACTGAACTGCTATCTCACCATCTCTTTTCTGCTCTTTCCCCACTGACTCCTCTGTCATTCGCTCTCTCATTACTGATCTATGTATCTGTGTCTTTGCTAGTGCAGCCTCTAGTGGCTGCCTTCTCTCCGTGCTGCTCGTAGAATCAACATCAAATTTTACTTACAGAGAACATGAAGCTGTGCTGTGCATTTTGCTCCAGGATTTGAGTTGGCAGCTAAAAAAACAAACAAGAAAAACAGATGGAAATTTAATCATTAAAATGTATAAAGCAATACAGCTAACTGGGGTTGTGTCAAATTATTCATCAATCATCATTTCGATAAACCAATAAATTGTAAGTTTACCTTCTAAACGGTTATATAAACTTATTACATTTTCCCAGTGCTCAAGGTGACATCTTAAAATAGCTTGTTTAGTCCAACCGAATCTCCAAAATATTCAATATACAATGATTTCAAACACAAACAGTCAGAAACGCTTACATTAGAGAAGCTTGAACCATCAAATGTTTGTCATTTTTAAGTTATAAATTTCATTTTTTACTTGATAAATGACAATGAACACATTATCAAAATTGCTGTTTATTATCAATCCATTTTTCAACAACTAGTTGAGCTACAGCTGCAATAATTAGTCGATTAATCAACTAAAATTTTATTTGCATCTAATTTAATAATCATTCAATAATTTTTAGTCACATTTCAGGCAAAAATGCCAAACATTTGCTAGTAGTATACTAGGCTATAGTGCAATACATTTATCATTTTCTGACATTTAACAGACAAAACCATTTATCGGGAAAATGGTCTGCAGATTAATCAACATTGACAATACACGTTAGCCGCAGCCCTATTAGGTTTGTTCCGATTGGCGATTGGATCGGCTATCTACGACTGAAGGGATGATCAGCGACTGGTTTTTCATGCGCCGATGTTAAGGCGATTTTAACAAACTCATTATCAGAACCAAGATGACATAAAAAGTTTCTAGAATCTGCACCACACAGTATACCTTACCTATTAAAGATGTTGTCATGAACTACTCTTACAGTAATCAGTCAATACTGATGAAGTTTTAAATGGCAAGTTGCCCACCCTCCAAAAACGACACCCCAAACTCTCAGAAGTGACACCACATGGGCAGATGCAAGATGCGAGTACATTGTAGATTTCGTGGCTGTGTGGAAGGAGTCAGATATTCAAAAAATTTTGTTACGTCCGGTCAAGCTTTGTAAACAAGGAGCAATGTTACCCACTTGAGAGTAGCATCTGTCAGACCCACTTATACTGTTAAGCAGCATGTGGAGGCTGTCAAGTAGCCTAATAACCTGTTTGAGAGAGGATAATATAATATATGTATTGTTGTATTTTTATTGCATGTACTGTCCCCATTAATTATTATTATTTGTATGATACATCATTCATTGATATTGATTTAATTTGTAATACTTTCTTATTGAATTGTTGAAATTTTACTAATCTACCACATGATTACAGATTCTTTCTAATGACAAAATGTGCTTAAATTGTAAAACACAGAATTCAGAAAAATTTTAATGGAAAATGAAAATTTAAACTAAATTCATAGGGCCATATCCAAGACTGAGACAATTGTCATAGGAACACAGAGATAAGACCGAGACAATTGTCTTTGGAGCACAGAAAGAAAGACAGAATATCGGGTCACACCTTTTCTCCCTGTCTCTCATAACTAAGAGCCAAGCCAAAAACCTTGGTGTTATCTGGGATTCAAATCAAAATCACTTAATCTGCTTACTACCATCTACACCATCAACATAGCTAGTATCAGAGGGCTACTGTCCAAGCAAGACCTGGAAAAGTTTACCCACACCTTTCTTTCCAGTAGATTGGACTACCGCAATGGGCTCTTCACAGGGCTTTCAAAACAAGCTCTGCTTGTGCCATGTGAACCACCTAGAACCCTTAGGCCATCTGAAACTAGCCTACTGGCAGTCCCAAGAGTCAGAACAAACACAGTGAAGCAGCATGCTGTTATCATGCAACACAGACCTGGAATAACCTCCCAGTTGATATTAGACAAGCCCAGACTCTGCCAACTTTTAAGTCAAAGCTATAAACATTCCTATTTCAAACTGCCTGTTTCTCCCAGTACAGGCTAAATACAGATCTTCTTAGTTTTTAAATAGCCTTCATGTTTATTGTTTTAAATTGTTCCTAATTTAATTAAATTTAGCATCTAAATGTGGGGGTATTTGCTGTGTTCTTTCATCTTTCATTTTTACTTTGATTTAAAAATGCACTAGTTTACTTTTTTATCTCTTGCCTGTACTTTTGGATTTTTTTAAATATAAAACCTTTTTCTCTATATTTTTTGTAAGTTACCATGTGATGCACATTGAATTGCCCTTGAGTATGAGTGTGCTATACAAATAAAGCTGCCTTGTCTTATTAAAAACGTTTTCAGAAGGGTAAGTAAGAATGTCATATTAAGTTGATGATAAAGAGCACTAAATAATCACAATGCATTTTCAACGCTTATATATGATGTGTCAAAATTGCACTTAAATGAGTATGGAACAGGCATTAGTCGCTGACTGCTACTAGCTATTTGCTAGTTTGCTAACTTTGCTAATGTTGACAGGTAGTGTTTGCGTTAGAAGCCTGGTTAGAACAAGCTAGCGTTACATTAGCTAGCAACAGGACTTGTCTATTTTTAGCTGGAAAGGGGGAACTCGAATTTCGAATACTACTGGCTTAACAATTAAAGTCAGAAAAAAAATGATGTTGAAATTAAAAACAAAAGTTATTCAATTTAAGATGTGCGAAGATATTTTTAAGGTGGAAGCCCTCTGCCAAAAGCACTAACATTAACTCTAAGGTTACCTGATTTAACTTACCAGTCATACCTTCAGGAAACTCACCGTGGGAAAAGTAAACATCGCAGCAATCTGCCATATGAAGAAGTAAGAAAAATAAACTTATTTTAATAATGTGCGAGTGATTAAAGTCAATCAATCACATATAATCCACTGTGAGACAGCTTCCCTCTCACACTCTCTGCAGTGCTGCTCAGCATCTTTGTGCTCAGTGCTGCCACTGGTGGCTGTAAGCTGTATTGCAACAACATAGACATACTGGTGGTGGTCCTGGATCAGGTAGTGGGGGGGTCACCCTCCAGTATGTGCCACCAGGGCACTACTCAAGTATAAATCACGTAATACGATACAGGGCACTACTGGGTAAGTATAGTACGAACCATCTTGCAGCTTAGATTTACAAAAGTGAATCAAACCATCATGTGGTGCCCATGAAGTACAGAAAAATATCATTAGGATACAAAATTGTATTATTGAAAGTCACTATACTCTCTCAAAACATATGTTAAATTTTCAATGAATGCTTATGCTACCGAACTATACTAGGTCTTGTGTCCCTTCAGTCCTGCCACACGAAATGCCAACATTGCTATACAACTGCAAGATAAGTACATCCTTTTTTTTCTTCTTCACCTAATCTTTCCTCACCTGTCTTGCCATGATAAAGCCCGGACTGAGGAGTGCATTTTTTCATCGGAGAAATGTTTGTTGATGTAGTTGTGGACTGGATGAAAACCAGCTGTCTCACCTTCACTGACACAGTCGTGGTGTTGTAAAGGATGAATCCATCAGGAGCTCATCAGCTGCTGATCAACTGCTGGACTGCAAAATAAAACAAACTTAAAAAGGCCATGTGCTACTTTGCATCAATGAAGGGAAATATGTGCAGGAAATTGCAGTTGTAGAAGAAATAATCTCAAAAAGAACAGCTCAAGTGCAGACAAATATGTTTTTTAATGCTGCTGATTTGTTTGTTGATGTGTTTGTCAGGTTACGATAAAGAAAGTACCCAGAAGGAATGCTGATGTTTTATTCTTAGTAAGTTGTACACACACCTCAACTTGTGCTTACAATCATCAAAAACGACACAGGAGTCAAAGCGTACTCACGCCACAGGAGATAAATCAAAAATTCCTCAGGCTTTCCAACAAACAGGAATGATAATAATTGTGAATTTGTGTGGGGAAGAATAATGTGTGGGCAGAACAGTAATGCTGACCTAGATAGAGATCCATAGGGTGCCATTAGCCAGGTATAGAAGGAGAACCTGATGCTAGCTGTCACAGCTGATGAACAGATTTTGGAGGAGATCACTCACTGGCTTGCGCTGGGATCATCACGTTGAGCTAATTAGAAATGCTTGGCAAGAAAACCCCAGAAAAAGATAAAGTCAGTTATAAAATCACACCTCCAGACACACATAAGTGTGACAAAAGCCAAGTGTTTTGTTACCACATGTATTTTTCACATTCACAGCTATTGTTTGAATTAATGTTTATGTACTAGAACTGTGATTTAAAAATAAAGTCACCAATTTTAATGAATCTGGGTCAATATAACATAAGCTATGTGGAAACGTCTCTTTAGCCCTCTTAAATATTACAAAATATGTTCTTTATTTAAAGAAATGCTTTATTAAATGTGTTTTAATAAAATTTGTTGGTTTTGAAAAACACTTATGTATGTATATATTTCACAAACCTCTCCATGCCGGTGGTGTGTCTGAAATATATTGCAACTCTCTACATAAATAGACATCACCTAACCTGGTCAACCAGCTTTAACATGTGTGCAGGGTAACAATTCATTTCCCAAAATCTCTTCTGCAAGTTCACACCGACAGTCAAAAAAACAGAGGCATGATCCATGGACACCTAAAGTGTATATATTTATTTGACTCTCGTGAGGACATATATTGTTTGCATGTAATAAAAAGTGATCAGATTTATGGCTGTGTGCTTTTCTCCAGGGTTTAAATACACCTAGACTGAGATCTAGTGTACACATACTTATTTTCACATATGGGACCCTCATTTACATTAAACTATAGCTCATTTGCCATTTAGGCCACAATCCAAAGCAACTTACCAATGCTACATATGACAGAGGTCTCACGCCTCTGGAGCAAGTAGGGGTGTGTCACAGTGGGAATTGAACCCTGGTCTCCCATACCCGAAGCATGTGTCTTTTTCTGACAATCAGGGGTGCATTTCCTGTACAACGACGGTGGGTAGCATTGAACTATCTTGGTACGATGCATCGTTAAACTAAGCAACATCTGAAGAACAACGGTTTCCCAAAACTGTCGTACCTTGTTGGTTTGAACCAACATAGTTTGAACTAAACTATGATGTGTTTGTCTGCTTTTCAAAGCAGGAAACTCACAAAACGTTGTCATATTCTGCCTAAATATGTCAGATGTGACCGATATTAAGAGACATCAATTTGCTAACTTATTATTTAGGCTTTTCATATTACAGTCGTATACCGGCAACAACAAGAAAATCAATAGTATTAATAAAATCAATGATATAATCATTTTACTTAGCCCAAATACAGGCTATAACTTTGTTTATGTCCGGGCCGGGGCCAGAAACTCACAGACCAGAGTATGAGCAATGAGAGAATTTATTGTACACAAGTGAGAGACAGGTTCGGCTTGGGGATGGGTGGTTGTTCCGAGGGGCATGTGGTCCTGGTTTCAGAGCTCAGGGGTTTCCATGGCACAGGAGGGAATCCGAGTCGTGCATGGGCAGGTATTCTGTGGTTGAAACAGAGTAAACAAGTTAACACTAATGTTGTGTTTGTGTAGGACTCAATAACGACACCGTGTAGCTTCGTTCGTGTTGCGTTTACTCAACTGCCACAAACCTTACATTTTACCTCTTGCCGTAAATCACTGCTGTAAGTCTTAAAGGCACAGAAACCTGTCACTCGCAGTGCATAACATAACAAAGTCGAACAGGACACAATACTGAACGTTTTCAGACATAACAACTAACACAAGCGTTCAGACAAGATGCTGATTAGTTCAGGATAGAACAACAGGCTGGCATGTTCGTACTACGAGGTACAACAATCCAGCGGGGACTGGAACGTTGGGCTGGTCTTTTAAAGGTGAGTTGATTGTAGGCAGAGGCACTGGTGTGCTAATTAACTGGATGTGCTTCAGGTGAGTAAACTGGAGCTCAGGCAACCACGCCCACCAGCAGCCCCAGAGCATGAGGGAGGAAGCAGAACACAGAGAGACAGACAAAAACCAAAACACACCAAGCATACCACAAACGCCCCAAGGGGAAAAAGAACTCAAAAACTACAATCACACACATACCAACAGGAAGGTCCGGGTCACCCGGGGGTTTGTGACAGTTTATAGCAATAGTTACATTTTAGAAGAAAAAATTAAGAACTATTAGCAATTACAAAACATTTAGTAAAATAGGTTTAATCTGCAAGTGCTGTGAAAAACAGATGTTGAGCCTTCAGACATTTCATGGGAAAAAGCTACACTGTAAGCCTTTTATATTAGCAACTAGCGTGTCACAACTAGAAAAAAGGTGAATAAATCTCAACTGTGAAAAAAATAATTAACAAGGTAATCCCAACCAATTTGAAACTTGCTACAGTATGATTCCCAAAATGATTGCCTTTTAATCCACTAACTAGCAGTTTTCAGGTCTGTTCAGGCTTGTTTACGTGTCTAATAGGCCTATCTACACTCAGGATTATTAGGAACACCTGTTCAATTTCTCATTAATGCGATTATTTAATCAACCAATCACATGGCAGTTGCTTCAATGCATTTAGGGGTGTGGTCCTGGTCAAGACAATCTCCTGAACTCCAAACTGAATGTCAGAATGGGAAAGAAAGGTCATTTAAGCAATTTTGAGCGTGGCATGGTTGTTGGTGCCAGACGGGCCGGTCTGAGTATTTCACAATCTGCTCAGTTACTGGGATTTTCACGCATAACCATTTCTAGGGTTTACAAAGAATGGTGTGAAAAGGGAAAAACATCCAGTCCTGTGGGCGAAAATGCCTTGTTGATGCTAGAGGTCAGAGGAGAATTGGCCGACTGATTCAAGCTGATAGAAGAGCAACTTTGACTGAAATAACCACTCGTTACAACCGAGGTATGCAGCAAAGCATTTGTGAAGCCACAATACGCACAACCTTGAGGCGGATGGGCTACAACAGCAGAAGACCCCAGCGGGTACCACTCATCTCCACTACAATAGGAAAAAGAGGCTACAATTTGCAAGAGCTCACCAAAATTGGACAGTTGAAGACTGGAAAAATGTTGCCTGGTCTGATGAGTCTCGATTTCTGTTGAGACATTCAGATGTTAGAGTCAGAATTTGGCGTAAACAGAATGAGAACATGGATCCATCATGCCTTGTTACCACTGTGCAGGCTGGTGGTGGTGGTGTAATGGTGTGGGGGATGTTTTCTTGGCACACTTTAGGCCCCTTAGTGCCAATTGGGCATCGTTTAAAAGGCCACAGCCTACCTGAGCATTGTTTCTGACCATGTCTATCCCTTTATGGCCACCATGTACCCATCCTCTGATGGCTACTTCCAGCAGGATAATGCACCATGTCACAAAGCTCGAATCATTTCAAATTGGTTTCTTGAACATGACAATGAGTTCACTGTACTAAAATGGCCCCCACAGTCACCAGATCTCAACCCAATAGAGCATCTTTGGGATGTGGTGGAACGGGAGCTTCGTGCCCTGGATGTGCATCCCACAAATCTCCATCAACTGCAAGATGCTATCCTATCAATATGGGCCAACATTTCTAAAGAATGCTTTCAGCACCTTGTTGAATCAATGCCACGTAGAATAAGCAGGCGAAAGGGGGTCAAACACAGTATTAGTATGGTGTTCCTAATAATTCTTTAGGTGAGTGTATAAGCGTTGTGGGGCTATATTTATCAGATATGACAGCTTAGTATCAGAACACAAACACAACACAAAATATTTATTTGTGTGACTGTACTTTAAATTTATGTGTGGGGGGAAACTGTATGAATGGGATTTTTTTATGTTGAACCTGGATACCATGCAGCTTTTTCTCATGATGTTTGGAAGGTTTGTGACAGAGCCTCATCCAAATTCAACCCCCAATTGTGGATCGCATACCTGTATATATTTTCCTAATGTAATTTTAATGTTTTTGGTGGAGTCAAATGAAAAGATCAGCAGCCTTTGGCTGAATGTACACAGACACTATTAAACACAAAACACAATAAAACAGCACTCACTGCTGCTCCAGTGTGTTTCCGATTTATTTACCTCTTGCAGGAAACCTGGAAACCTTCATGGAGGAATAAATGCAATGACATTTCCTATATTGTACAGCCATTCATGGCATCATTGTCATTTATGGGTCTGAGAAAGTGGGCTATTTCATAAAAATTTGATGGCAAGAAATGATTTTAATCACACGTAGATAACCTCCGCCTGTGTCTGCTGTGGCTTCGGCTGCTCCCAATATTCTTCTTCCTACTACGCCGTCAAACAAGGCTAAACAGGTTTTATTCTTTATTTATTCCACTGCATATCTTCCAGAGTAAAGCCCCAGGCAACACTGTCTGTATTTACTTGAGATTGGATGAGATGCTGAACTAAATAAGGCTTTTAATCCCTTTTTTATCAACAACTTGGTCATCCTTAGCAGCATAAGCCCTGTTTTTGCTTTGCTGTGGAAAAGTGGCTGTTGAGTAAAAAGTCAGCATGCAGGTGAATGAATAATAACAAAAGCTATAGTCTAGGAAGCTAATTCCATTTCAGAGCCACAATAGGATTCAAGACAGAGTCATTCTCCTGAGAAACACAGCAAAAGCAGTAAGCCTGTTCTGAATGAAGACCTTGGTTTATCATAAAGCAGAGACATGGGCATCACAAAAGAAATGGTACCGAGTACTGTTCCTCTGAGTTTACATACTTGCTGTGTATGTGTGTGTCTTTCAGAGGATCAGGGTTGCTGACAGGCGATAAAAAACTCCCACATTTTAATCAATAAGGCCTTTTCTTTTGTTAAATATTAGTACTTCAGTGTGCCGTTAATGTAATGTGTGATGTATGTCTGGTTCACACAAATCCTAACAACCAAGCTAGCAAGTAGAGTGTTTGGCTCGTGTAAAGTCAATTACATGATGATATTCTATCAAAAATGACACACATGTTGAAATATTTACCCAAGCATATAAACAAATACAAAAAATCAGATATCAAGTGTGTGTGCCTAAAATTGAAGCATGACACAGGATATTAATAGTCTTACCAGCAGCTCTGTGAGGCTGTACTTGCTGGTCTCATTTATACACATGAATTGCTGCCAAATACTGAACCCCAATAGCAATGTTTAGCTTTTGTAATGATTTTAAATGTCCTGTATATTTCAAGAGATTATTTAAGATGTTAAGATATAACGTAGTCTCTGCGTGGATGCAGGGCCACAGAGGTGATAATCTGATTGAAGTTCAGGAGTCATCTTTCAGGAGGCACCCACAAAGTTTGTACAACCTCCAGTTGCAGGACAGACAAAGGTCTGATAGATGGGTCGGCATCAGTTTGTGTCAAAATAATGAGTGTGGAGGATTCTAACTGTTTCAGGAGAAATTTTTAGAAATGGGAACAGAGTCTGAACATCTGTCACAGGAGTTTAATTGCCAAGGGAAAACATTCAGCCTTTTCGAAATGAAGGAGGAAACATTAATTTCTTTACTTAATTAAACATGAAACCATTCTTTCTTACTTCTAATTAAAGATCTACGGAGCTAGCCAACTGAAGTAATCTCAGGTGTCTAAACGTCTCTCCACACTTCATTTCATTTCTTTTAAGCGCCATGCCAGCACCAGGAGAGGGGTCTGTCACTGACTATTTGTCAGCGCAAAACAAAGGGGTGGAACAACTTAACCGAGGTACTTTGATGTTAAGGCTGTGTATTTTTAGTCTGTAACTAACAGGAGGGTACAAAAACTGAGTGCAGATGGGCAGGTAAGGCAAGATAACAGTAAATGTCATACAGATGCAAAGTGGAGCAAGCAAGTTGAAAGCAAGTCCAAGTGACAATTGAGAATAAAGTGAATATATATAAAACACAGTTAGAGTTAGGCATAAGTTTGCCTTTTACCCTAATATTACACCAAGCAGTCTATATTAAAGTCTCTGTACAAAAGATCAATAATCTGTTTGATGATGCCTGTTTTTTTAATCCTGCTATATTCACAAAGCTGACCATTAAGCATTTATAAGAAACAAACAGGCACTTAATAAATTCACAGAGAACACAGCTGTGATCATATTTAATGTCATGTGATTACACTCAAACAAACCTTTACAGTGTGTTTTAAAGCATTCAATAACTATTACTACACATGTACTAATCATTCACAGGCAGGTTTAAAACAATGTTTAATAAATGAGGAATTGTTGCGCTTGAAGGGTCAGTTTAGTTTTAAGTCAAGGGCCACTTACTAGATTTCTGCCAGACCTTTCAGCCACATGTTATGGCCTTCATCAGCTGATAGAGTTTGTCATGGAGAGTTAAAAACCTCAATAGTAAATCAAATTAATGTAAGTCATTCATTAATACATATAATATGCAAACATAATAATTAACTAATACATGTTTTATATCTGTTTAAAACATTTGAAACTGTTATATTGTTAATCATTCATTAACTGTATATGCTACCTTACGGATCATAGAAAAGTGTTTTTAACCTGCCTATAAATGTGAAGTGTTACCTAAAGGGGCAAAGAACATATTTTCTTGAAACCTGGGAAGTAGGGTACTTTAGGGCATGATCAAAATACGAGTGATTACCGTCGATAGATCAGATTGTGGGAGCGAAAGATTTAAATTAAATGACACCAATCTTGCGAATGCCATTTAAATTCCAAAGTGGTATGATGATGCAATTAATTTGCATGTGAAATGGATACAGTGAATGCAACCTCATGAAGAGTAATGCTAGATTAAAAAACACATCCTGTTTTTCCCGCTCACCTTCTCGCTTCCTGTCTCTCTCTATCACACACACACACACACACACACTAGTGCACATTCACACATAGGATGCCATAAATATAAACAATAACAAATTTAAAACATGAAATCAGCAGGGTCTTTAGGGTGTCATGCGTTGCATATTGTTAGCAAAAGATTACAAAACACAGAGTGAGGAGGGGGCAACGCTGGCTTGCTTCAGTTATATTTATTGTATACATATTTGATCAGTTAGTAATTCTTCTGTTGTCGTGACTGTACTGTCGCATCATTAAACATAAACCTGTTTTTGGTCATATTCATACACAGACAGATGAAGGTGGAAAGAGATTTAAAAAATGAATCACAGCTCATTTGTCCTATGGAGTATTTTTGGTTATGAATGCCTACAGCAATTTTATAATTCACTAAAATAAAAACCAAAAGCTGTTCCTTTAAGTCACATTTACTAAAGATTGACACAGAAAAGTATGAATGCTGTACCAGACGAATGAGCCCTGGCAACCCTGTGCTAGTTAAGTAATCTTGGCTCAAATAGCCTTCACGTCAGCTCTTCAGGAGTTGGCCTTCATGGCAAGT